CACCCCTCTCGGCCATCCCCTGCCCCCAACGCGACACCAGCTGGCGGTCCGTCCCTTGACCAGCCGTTCCAGTTCGTGCATGTCGATGGTGCCGCTGCCGTCGGCGTCGGCAGCCGCAAAGGCCACGTCCAGCAGGCCCGCGGGGATGCTCAAAAGGTTCAGCAGAAAGCAGAACTGCCCACACCCGCATCGCCCATGCATACGCGCCGCCGTCCGTGTCAAAGAGGATCGATATACAGGATCGATTTGGTAAATGCAAGCGTACGACCGACAGACCATGGGATCAGGAAGGATGCAGGCCTGCTGTGACAGAGCACTCACGCTATTGTCCGTGAGCCAAATGGAAATCAATCAAGCCCGCTAGATGCGCCCGTGTTGGCATTCACAGCTGGCAGGCTAAAATCACTGGCGCTCGCGATCTATGCGCCCCTTGGTTCAAAAACATCCTGCCACAGCCACAGCCTGGCAGCAGGAATGAATACCGTTCGGCCCGGCACGGAGCAGGATAACCGCACGGACTGGCTGACGGAGTGAACGAGCGACGTGTGTTCGAAGCTCTGTATCGAGCTCCTGGCAACCGCACGCACGCATGTATCTCGCCTAGGCCTGTACCCCTTAGGCGTTAAATTTCGTGATTAAAGATACACTAACTTCTATTCTATTTTCAGTATTGTGACCAAAATCGACAACAGCAACAACAAAAATACGAATATATCACACCTCGTCGAAGGAGATGAGGCTGTGGTCGTCACCAAGGAGAGGGTTGATGTAACGGGCGCAGCGGCGCTTCAGCTCCTTGGCGTCCACTCGGACGTACTTGTAGCACAGCTTTTTTCGTTATCACCGGCAAGAGGATTCGTTTTTCGGGTAGGGGAGTAGGGATGGTTGACGCCATACTTTGGCGAAAACGAAACAACGGAGACATGAGCAGAACGCACGGCGATATCATAGCTCGTACAAAGGGAGTCGTGGTGGAGGTGGTGGGTACCTCTACTCGAGGCACTCAGGTCTTCTCCCTGCTGTATGCCTCCGAGGCCTCTACCTCTCTCTCTCCTTCTCTCTCTCTCTCTCTCTCTCTCTCTCTCTCTCTCTCTCTCTCTCTCTCGCTCGCTCTCACCATCGCCCTAAGAAAGTCCCCGCAAGTCATGAGCTTTCCCACGTCGTCCGCGTCAACCGTGGCGTACTCTTCGAAGATGTCCCGCAGCGAGCGCAGCCTCTGCAGTCTCCTGGCGTAGTCCTCGAGGCTGTTGTTTCCCGCGTTCGCGTTTGGTCCAGTCGGTTGCCGTTCATCCGCCGTAGATTTTCGTTGCATTGTAAGAGGAACGCGGGGAAACACACACGCTACTCAAACAGTAATGTAGCAACCATCACCAACCAGAGAGCACAAGGCTCAACAACAACAACGCAACGCAAAACACGGGGTTGGATCGTCCGTAGAGTAGTAGCTCCCGTAAAAAGCACCTCTCGGGGGACGATCTTGACATTTCAGCGTCTTGGCAAGGGAAGCTGACCACCCAGGTCGGGTTCCCTGCCAAAGGGACTGTATGCAGCCTCTAGGGTGTGTGGTACCGAAAGAGAGGGGGTGTTGGTTTCGCACGTAACGGTGCCCCCCATGGGTCTCATACAGCAGCAGTACACCGGATGTTCGTCGCCAACTACAACCATTGCTGCAAACTTGTGCGGCATACAGTACCGGTCGCTGCCTAGAGCTGGGCGTGTGACGGGAGAGAGGACGAAACCGCCTTGCAACGCCGTTCTTGCGGTTGGTGTTGTTACGCTGCTGTTGATCTTTGTAAGTGTAGGTTGGAGGGGCTATCAATCACCTACAGCAAAAGACCGAAGTCGATATATGTCCGCCGCAACTACAGAACCTACCTTCACTTGTAGCCCTACACTCTGGCGAGCGGGGGGGGGGGGNGGGGGGGGGGGGGGGGGGGGGGGGGGGGGGGACGCCAATACAATGTTGTTGTTGTCGTTGATGCCAAAAAGAAGAGCCAAAAGACGGCTTACGCACCTGTCCGTAGCGCTAGTCTTGCCCTTACATAGACACACGCAATCCTCCTCCCACCGCGGCTGCAGCTCCTGCTGCGCGCAAAGCAACGCCGCAGCGGCGACGGCAACCATTGTAGACAGCGTGCCGCTTCCTTCGTCCCGTGCGGTGCGTATGCCTAGCAGGCTCCTGCTGCTGCCAGTAGCGAGCGGGGAGGCCGTTGCACGGGTGGACAACGCACCGACGCTAACCCGACTGCTTCTCCTGACGGCGTCGACTATCACACTGGTCCTACCGATCTTCCGGCTAAATGATGCGGCGGAGGATCTGCTGGAACCTGATGTCGGTAGTCGTCGGCAACGCGCGACCGACCAGCGAAGAGGTTTGACGAAACATGTCTGTATCATCTACCATATGTCAGAGTAGCTATGGCATCTTCCCTTGGCACGAGCAGGAGGGCAAAGCATGTTCAGCGCTGGAGGACAAAAACACAGACACACAGATGAAGCATGCTCTTCATGCGCCGCGGAGTTGTTGTTAGTAGTCTATGCAAGGTAGCATACGAGACACCTCGTTGGTTATCCGCGAGTGTTTTGCTGTCTACGGCACAACAAAGATATCAGCAACTTTCTTACACCTCATGATATATCGTACCTGCCAAAGCGACATGAAACAAGCCCCTCGCAGTCGGTGCAGACGAAGGAAGCATAATCACACAAAAGGGCTACACACTCGTTGCCTGCTGTTTCTTCGCACAGCTCACAGACTTGGCTGTCACTTCAGTCTTGTCGCTTGGGCTGGGGCCCCGCAAGTTGATTTAGGGCGGGTGATGGGGGGCACACCGTCCTACGTTGGTTGCAAGTGTTGATCCTCCCACGGTCTGCATCCTCATGCGTTTCAGTGCTACATGTGTCATCTTCCACAGCAACTGCGGATACTGAACCACTTCGTCGGGTCCACGTTGTGCATGTTGAAGCAAAAACTTCGACATTGCGCGCATCTGTGTCTGGCCTGTGTATCCTTGTCCTCTCGGCCGTTCGAACGGACGTCGCTAAAAAACTTACATTGTGAATAAGTTCTGGGCCGTGAATAATGGCGGGAACCTGGCCGGCCCTGAGAAAAATATCGCTACAGCAGTTTTGCGAAATCGTCTTGTTTTAGCGGCCGATGTGGAGTTAGGGTGACGACAGAGAGGCAAAACAGAACATACGTATGAGCTACATAGCATTCATCATTCGTTCGAGGAAGATTTTTCTTTCCGGCGATGGATTCCCACCAACACCCTAAAAACGCCGCACACACAGGCATTATAATTCCATTTCCTTCTTCGCCCGGACCGACCCATCTGGACTACAGCAACACCCGGAATAGTTGCCTGCTTGCGCTGGTGCGTTGGTTTCGCGACAATCCAGGGGAACGGTTCGTAATAAAAGAAGACGGCGGTATACACAGCATCATGCTACAGGTCTTGAACCGAAAAAGTACGACAATAAGTGGGAGAGCGGTGTTGTTGTTCTTGTTGTTCTTGTTCTTGTTGCCGCCTTCACACTCACAAACGTCCGGTTTCTGCCAAGCAACTTCTGACATTAGCGGTTCAACGGACGCGGACAGCATCTCTTTCTGTAGTTAACACCAAAACGACAAATACAACCAGCTATCCCAACAGAGGGTAGACACCCTTCTTATGAAAATCAAAGAAAATATATACCATCGACTTAGAAAATCAGCGCAATAATACAACTAGAAAAACAAGAAACACACAAAGGCCCCAGGATGTCAAAAAACGCAAACGATGTCTGTCTCTCGGACAATATTGTAGACAACGTATCACAGGAAAAGGAGCCCATCACCCCCATTCGACACGCGAGGCCCGGCATTGCACACTAAAAACTCCCGTTGTTCTCGCACAGAACGACGGTCACGGGGGCCCTCTTTCCACACATACTACGCAAGCATCATTCGGTCTACATCTGCACCCCCACTTTCACATGCAATCTACCTCCTCACTCCCCCATTCCAACGAAGATGACAAGTTCCACGAACCTTTGCACAAGCAAGACGAATCAGCAAACACGACGGGCGCTCAAGAATGTGTTCTTCGTTTCTTCCCTTTCGAGGTGTCGCGACTTACTTGAAAGGTAACGTCGTAGAGAGCTACGAGCGGTGTGCGGGTGTGGGAACGCTGAGATTCGATGCTGAGGCTGAGGTATCCAGAGCCGCAGCAGCAGTGCCCGAATTCTTCCTCAAAGCTGAATCTGTCTTCGTCTTTCCTTTGTCGGCACAACTGGGCGTCACCCCGTTTCGTTCAACTACCCCGTCGCGGTGCTCTCATTCTACTTCTGTTTAGTTCCAGACTATCTGCGCGGGACAAAATAGTACTTGCTGTCGCCATATCTGCGAACTCGTCCCAAACCTCTTCTTCCCCGGCATGCCTCGAAGTAACGGCCGTGTCAGCGACGCTGCGACGAAGTGCCTCCAGTGTCTCCAGGTCTTCACAGGTCAACGTACTAGCCGCCATGTTTGCAAACTCCTCCCACACCTCCTCTTCCGCGGCTCTCCTCGTCTCAGGTACCATGTCGGCAACGCTGCGACAGACGGCCTCCCATACGTTCTTATCTTCGTTGGCCAACATGCTATCAGCCATCATATCTGCAATCTCTGCAGCCGCCGTGTCGGCAACGCTGCGACGAATGGCCGCACATACCTCCTGATCTTCGTTGGTCAACATGCTACCAGCCATCATGTCTGCAAACTCCTCCCACGACTCCTCTTCCCAGGCTCCCCCATCGCTTTCGGCGACGCTACGTCGAAGGGCCTCCCGTATCTCCTCTTCGTCGTAGTCCCCGTAGTTGGTTGCTGCCCATGCCCCTGCCGCCCCCTCCGGTGCTGCTGCTGCTGCTGATCCCTTCCCGGCGACGTTAGAGCCCTTGCTAAGAAGGAGCGCTTGCTGCAACTGCTGGCTTTCCTTCTGCTCCAAGTAAGCCGCCGCCTGATTAGGAGGGGAGGGAGGTGGTGGCCATGAGAACGAAAGAGTCTGACCATTGACGATGCAGCGTTTGGAAACATCGCCCGAGTCGTTGGAGGCACATTGTCAAAATCGTGATGACTCACTCCAACCGTCAAGCGTCAGCAAACCCCACGTGTCGATCGCTTGTAACTGGTACGATGCAATAAAGACAACACTCACAAGCTGGACTGCAATCTTCAATGCCTCAGAAATAAACGGGCGTAAACCCTCGGCATATTCCAATGAAGTGCTTCATATATGTCATGGTCCTGGTCTTTGTTTATCAGTTCAAAAAGTGTTAATAAAAAGTCCCTCCCTCGACCTACCGCGCATCCTCGACGTGATACACGACATACGCACCGGTAACGTTTCCGCCCTGTCCGGGAAGAGGAAGTTGGCGATGCTGTGGCACCCCCACTCCTTGCCAATCTTCCCCGGCGAACAAGCCGTCGCCAACCGACGAGCCCTCTTGTCCTTGGGCATGTAATTCTTCTCCGTGCCCAGGCGAAAGAACCCCGAGACTACGTCTCCGATGATATGATGCGTCGTCACCCGCTTGTCCACGGGATCGGACAAACGCTCGGTGTGGCTACGGTAGAGGTATATCGCCAGGACGCATCCAGAGCCAACGGTGACGGCGCACATCGCAGCGGTGGCCGCGGCACCAGCCACCGCAAACCCACCGGTGAGCCAGAAACCGGCCACCGCCGATCCTCCCGCAACGGGACCGACTAGACCGGGCCAGGCGCCGGGATTGAAAATGTGTCCGCCGACAAGCTCGTATGGCGCGGCCGCCCCGCTCCAATTGGCCCTTTCCGCGTTCCAAGCGCCCAAGACTTGCTGCTGGTACCTCGTGTCGTTCGGACGACGCCTGGCGGTGGTAGGGATGTCGTGGAGCAGGACCATTACTCCCATCGCCACGGTGCCACCGAGCGAATGACCCGTCACCGAAAACCTGAGGCCACCGCCGCCGCCGCCGCCGCCGCCGCCGCCGCCGCCGTTGTCGTGTTGTTTTGACAAGAACAGTATCACACGCAGCGCCCACACTGTGGCGTTCAGCATGTACTTGTGCTGGTCGAAATCCCCGTGGACGAGTAGCACGTCGTTCAAGGCGTCCCGCCTGTCCGCCGTGCCTCTGAAGGCGAGGACATAGTCGACCTGGTTGGGCGCGCGGAACACGGCCCAGCGCGTGTCGTTCAAGCTCGCGGCGGGCCCATCGTCGCCTGCTGCGGCGGGTATCTCGCCCCGCAGGAGGGTGTATCCGCAGCGTGCCCCGCGATGCTCGTCGCTTGCTGGGTTGTTGTTGTCGTTGTCGTCGTCGTTGCCCGGCTTCTTGTAGACCTCGCTGCTGAGGCAGGCAAAGGCTTTCTCCTCGTCGGTCATGTCTTCTAGGTGGGACGTTCGCACCAACCGGCGCGGCAGAGTGAGCACCGTCTCGATCAGCCCTCTCCCCATCTCGCCAGGCTCGTAGGTGCGCTTTGCGTGGTTCGATGACATAGTGCTGCTGTCTTTCCTACGTGCCAGTACTTCTGAGAGCGAGAGCAAGGGGAACATGGTTGAACATTAAGACATTTGCTCAGCCCGTAGTAAATAGCGAGAACAACCGCCGAAAATCGAATTCTGCTAACAAGACCAATAGTCTAGAACCTGCCTTGCTATTGTAGCCAAAAACGCCCCTTACTACAGTATGCATAGTCTACAGTGCAGTATGATATTTGTTCCTTTTTGTGAGGAGGCGCGACGTTACGACTTTGTCGAAAGTGTTGGTTGATAGAGCAAGACGCAAGTGTTTTCCCACTTTGTTTGCATCTCGGTTTTGAACCTACCCCAGCCCTACCCTTCACCGAAGTACCACCGGTTGATGCGCGGTCAGTGCACCGTGGGCAGGTCGTAGCTTGGTGTGCACTGGATCGTGCTAAATAGGTAGGGTGACGCGACGTGGATTCCGGCATGGAGACCAACATGGAGACCAAACGGTATACACGCTGTTGTTGCATTTTGGCGTCTTTCGTTCACTCTGCAACGGTGTGTGTTGTGTGTTTCTTTGTGTGTGTCTTTATCTGCGTGTTAGTACCTTGCAGATACTGTCGGGGCTGTAGCATCGAAGAGAATCTCGTACAGCAGTATGCAAAGAGGTACTTTACGTGTACAACACTACGAACTTGTCGGGATATCTCCCAAAACTGCTGTACTTTGCCGCAGCAGAGCCACAGAGCCACCCAGACCTCAATCTCTCTCGAAGTGCTGGCCCAACTAGACGTCTAAGGTCCCAGCGGTGGCTGAAAGAGTCCCAGCTGGTCCAAAACCGAACGTCTTTCCACCCCTGCTCCTGCTGCAGCTCGAACTTCCCGCACGCACCTGATACTCTCCGTGCTGCTGCCAGAGCGGGGGAGGAAGAAGAGGGTTCCTCACGGGAGTCGTCGGAGCAAACGCGACGGACAGGAGCGGTGATGTTCCAACCAATTGCGACTTGTTGCAACGCAACGGCGAGGGACGGTGCAGTGGCTTTGCGTGAAAGGAGGTGCGGTCGAATGCATATGCATGCTGATCATGTTACGTCAACCGGTACAACGGGCCGAGCTTTTTCTCTCGCGCCCAAGGCATTTTCTCGAAAGGTTCCGAAGAAAAAATGGGAAGTTGGCCAGTTGGCCAGTTGAGTTGACCGTTGGAAAAAGTTCTGAGCAGAGTTCGGGGTTCGGGTTCTGGAGGCGTTACGGTGCACCCGCTGGCTGGGGCACACGAAATGCACCTGAAGGGCCGCTCGCATGAGGGTGACAGCACATGGAATAGGTGAAATTTCTGGCAGGCTTTGTTTCCTCCCTGTTGGGCTACTCCCCCAGCCCCCACTCTTTCACACCCGATCTTTCGACAGCATCCAGCGCACATGACCACGAGGGAGCCACCGTCGACCATATCTGGGCTGAAGACGAAGTACTTTCAGCATGTCCTAGGTAAAGTTGCGTGGATGCAGTAGACGGGCGAGCTTCACACTACGGGGGCGGTAATGCAGTGTCGGATCTTGTTGGCGGGAGAACGGTGTATGTAGATCCAGCGTGAGCTGTCAGCAACACGGCAGCACCTTGGTTGGTCTCCAAAGATCTCAAGCAGCCGTTAGGACCTTCATTCATTCCCCAGCTCAGCAAGAGACGAACAAGGGATTACCCTTGGAGCTTGCAGCAGGGATCATCATCCAGCAAGTCATTCGCTTTGTACCCTTGCATCTGTGCGTCCGCCATACCCCGGTCCGTCCTTTCTTTTTCCTGGATCTCCGAATACAGTTTGTATGTATCCCGTCAAGGGTCTGTGCGAAAAAAAATCAAGACACATAGACTAGGCCTACTTATCGAAAATCGGGGTCATTTTTTTTGGGGGGGTGTACTCATCGTCGTGCATGCCGTAGCCGTTAGACAATTGACCTCGCATCCCTACAAAGCCGGGACGGAGCACGCCGGGTTCGCAACGGACCAGGCTCTCACATCACCAAGCGCGAAGCGCCGTGAGGTAATCGGCGAGTGGCATGAAGGGTGCGCTGCATCCTGCTACGTTACGGGTGTTCGGCATCTTGTGCTTACTTCCTTGCATAGTCTAAGGATGACAGCTGCGTATGACTTAATTTATCTTCTGGTGCTTCACTTCCGGAGACAGTTGTAAGCACTGCTGTGTAACTGCCTCGAGGGTGCTTGACCAATCTAACACAACGTGGTGCGATCATCCCCCTTGTGCGGAGTGAAGGTTCTCGACCCCGCACAACATGATCTACTCGGCCACCATTCATTATGGTTCCCGCCGAAAAAAACAGAGAAAAAAAGAACCCTGTAACCTGGTTGCCGAGCTCACGAAGTGAATTGGCTTGTTTTACAACGTCGTTGCCAAGCGACGAAAACCCAACCCCGATGG